AAGAAAGTACCCTAATGACTCTGTGATGTGTTTGTTCTGAATGTCATAGATCATGCACTGAAACTAGATTGAACAATGATTATGTTGTTGATTCTAAGTTTGATGATTCTGATAATGAGCTTGAACATAATGAGCTAACCATGTCAAAGAGGACACAAATTCTCAAAGCATTGCCTATGAAGGTGGGATGAGATGAAAATGATGGGCTTCCATATCCAATGGTTCCATCTAGGATTCAGCGTCCGAAATTGGAACTAAAACCATTGCCTAATCACCTCAAGTATGCATATTTGGGGGGAGATTCCACTTTACCTGTGATTGTTTCTACTGCACTGACTGATTCACAGGAACAAGAGCTCTTGAAGGTCTTACGCCAGCACATACAAGCTTTAGGTTGGACAATTGTCGATATCACATGCATTAGTCCAACATTTTGTATGCATAAGATTATTCTGGAGGAAGAGTCTAAGCCCTCAAATCAAGCACAACGAAGGCTAAACCCGCACATGAAAGAGGTAGTACGAAAGGAGGTAATGAAGCTACTAGATGCAGGTATTATTTATCATATCTTTGATAGTACATGGGTTAGTCTAGTGCATGTTGTCCCTAAAATGGGAGGAATGACAGTAGTGAGAAATGATAAGGATGAGATGATACCGAACCAAACCGTTACGGCTAGAGAGTATGTATAGATTAAAGGAAGGTAATTGAGTCGACCTGAAAGGATCACTTTCCTCTTCCTTTTATTGATCAGATGCTCGAACAGTTGGCGGGTCATTCTCATTACTACTTCTTATATGGTTACTCTGGTTATATTTAGACCCAAGTAGCACAGGAAGATCAAGAGAAAACTGCTTTACATCTATCTATCTATCTATCTATCTATACTAAATATTATGGCTATTCAAAAATAACTTCTTGCCACATAAGCACTTGGTGAATGCACAAGTTGCCAAGGTGGACAATTTTTTTTTTCAAACAAAAAACTATTTATTGATCTATTTATAAAGTTGTCTCTCTCTTCTTTTAATAATTCTACTCATTTTTACTAAAATTAAAATAAGTTAATTTTTTAGGAAACATTTAAACAAAAAACACACACCTAAGTAATAAAAAAAAAATTCGATTAAACAAACTATAAAGATGGAAACAGAGAGTGACATATATAGTATTTGTTTAACCCAAGCTGATTAAATCTGATTATGTAAATTTGCTACTCATTTTTACTAAAACTTAATAATAAGTTACATTTTGATGAAGAAAAAAAAAAACAAACACACACACAAATATTAATATTTTTCAATGCAAAATATAAACGATGGTTATTCAACGAAAAAAAATATAAACGATGGTCTAAGAGAAAATAGACGTTTGACAATCAATCGACTTTGAGAAATGAACGATATGTCTATATGGTTTTTGCTATCAAACACTCACTTCTTTCTTATGTATATACCTATCAAATAAAACAAGTATAAATTATATTGGAAAATGTCTGAATATAAACTTGACAGAGCAATAATTATTTTTTTTTTAAAACTTCTTATTCATTTCGATTAAATGAAAACATATTAATTATTAATGTAAACTTTTAGGGTGTGCCTACGGTGACATGCATGTCACGGTGACTTGCACTTTCCGATCGACCTCAGTTAGGATTAGGTCGACCTCACATAGAATTCGGTCGACCTCATATAGGATCCGGTCGACCTCATTTAGGATTCGGTCGACCTCATATAGGATCTGGTCGACCTAATATGTTGTTTCAGTGTAAAAACAGTTCATGGTGCCTACTTTGGATATTCATATCATACAATTGGCTAGATGGAAATTGAAGACTAATGACTTGTTTTGAAGCTGGAGTGTCCCTCTACATATTGAAGTGATTGAGAGCTCGATAGGAAGTCCAGAAGACCATTTTTGAACCTCATCAAAAGGCTATGCCAAAACTGGGAAACTGCCTAGAAATGGCTAAGTCTGGAAACGTGTTTGTGAAGCCTATTTTTGAGCTCAATTCGAGAAGCATGAATGCGAGTCGAGTCTAGGAGCCTCTACCACGTTAAATTAGGTATGTTTTTATACAAATTCAAGGAATTGGATGAAAGATTGGATATATTTAAGGCTTCAAACAAAAGGGTCGAAGTTGCTACGAAGGCTGTTTTTCTGGCAGACTTCGAGCACAAGCAAGCTGCCAGAAAAACAGCCTTCGTAGCAACTTCGAGCCTTTTGTTTGAAGCCTTAAAGATATTCAATCTTTCATTCAATGCCTTGCCTTTGTATAAAAAAATACGTAATTTAACGTGGTAAAGGCCCCTGGACTTGACTCGCATCCATGCTTGTCAAATTGAGCTCCAAAGTAGGCTTCACAAACACGTTGCCAGACTTAGCCATTTTCAGGCAGTTTCCCAGTTTTGGCATAGCCTTTTGGTCAGGTTCAAAAATGGTCTTCTGGACTTTCTATTGAGCTCCCAAGTACTTTAATGTGTAGAAGGACACTTCAGCTTCAAAACAAGCCTTTAATCTCCAATTTCCATCTAGCCAATTGTAAGATAGGAATCTTCAAAGTAGGCACCATGAAACTGTTTGTACACTGAAACAACTGATTAGGTCGACCTGATCCTATATGAGGTCGACCGAAAAGTGCATGTCACCGTGACATGCATGTCACCGTAGCAAAGTCCAAACTTTTAATCTGTTTCTATCCCTTTTCCCATTTTGATTGTCTCTCTAGAAATAAAATTCAACATTGAAAATAAGAAATCAAGAAAGTATGTCAACCACCATAAAAATAAACAAAGCCCTCTTATTAGTTGCAAATTTTTTTGAGATTTCTAATATTTGTATTCTCATAATTTATAGAGAAGGAAATGGTAATGCATACGATTTTTTTCTTTGTATGAGAATAGGAGGCAGAAATTACACGAGACAACAATAAGATGACAAAATTTTGAGCAGTTGTAACATATTTTTGCCTGTTGACGAAAAAAGTTAATATGATCATTGTGAAGATGAGGCAAACCAAGGCGAGGGTTGTCGATTGCTCCCTCTTCCTCCTTGATCTGAAGCTGGCAACAGGTCTCGCTTTCTCAGCGATATGTTATTGTTTGCGGTTGACTAGCCGAGTTATACTCTTTTTCCCATTCTTTTCTTAATTTTTTCCAAATTACGACTGCTGGATGGAAAATTTTCCCACTCTCGATGAGTGAATATATTTCTTCTTTGTTTTTTACTGAGAAGGATCGCCATATACTTTCATGTATATAAAATATAATTAGAAGGGTTAATTGGTTGGACTTAGGGCATACCTCATTTGGTTGAATAATTTATCATTTTTCTTGAATGCCTATTGCAACCCGATTTCTTGAATGTTGAAATGGAAAGTAGAGTTGTGATGATTGTTTATTATATTTTATGTTCATGATTGACATGCTACTATCAGCTAGCTATACAATGATGATCTGGTTAGTAATTAGTAGGTAGCAAAGGGGTTATTAGTAGAAGAGAACATAATTGGGGTTTTATAAAGGCCGCGAATAAGAAAGAAAATGATAATGGTGGTTTCTCGGTTGTCTGTTTCGATATTTTTTTAATTTCTACATGTTTGCGGTGACATTTGTTTGTTTCATTAAGATGAATTTTTCTGCATTGAATCCCTAACTAAAGATTGATTTTGACATGATTGTTTTCTTACAAACTACTATTTGGATTGATGCATATATTCAGTTCACAAATGAGGAATCTGAATGATAAAATGAGTTGAGTTGTATTTAAGACTGCTCCTTTCATTGTTTGTCTATGTTGTTATTAGGTAATAAATCACAATTCTTTTCTGCAGGAGATATGTAGCTCTCTACAAAATATAAATTATGTTTAATTATATGCAGTTTAATTTGCTGAAAATATTGCTTTAATAAGTTAGTGACAGCTGATAGTTTTGTTTGTGGTTGGTTTTGCTAGACCATTTCAAGGTAATTAAACAAGTACGTGGAAGATTGATGGACGTGGATGCTAATGAGTTTCCTCATTATTCCAAAATTGTATGTGTAAGTGATAATACACGATATTCATGGGATTTAGATCAGAATATTCTCTATTATCATATACCGACATATGAGAAGGGAGAGAAAATAAAAAGCTCTTCCCTTATTTTATTTTTATTAATTGAAGCATATTTTCTTATTCTAACTTCTTCTTTTGTGGCCATAAGTTTTTTAACTTCTTTATCACAATTCTGTGCTAAAGAATGAATAATCTCTTATGTTTATAATCTTAAAGGGCGAGTTCGATAAAAAAAATTCTAAATCAATAAAGAACCGTCTACAAAGAGCTTAGTGAATAAAATTAAAATGTTCATAAATAAACAAAAGGTATAAAAGTATGAAATAATACCTGAAATAGGTAAGTGAGATTTACAATTCCATGTATATTACCTTAGCAAACATAAATAATAATAACAATTAGAATACTATAATCTATAAAAAATACAATTAGAATACTATAACGAATTATAAAACAACCAAACAAAATACACCGCCCAACGGGCGGGTAAAAAACTAGTGTCCTTTATTGATGAACATGTGTACTAAATTTGTTGTGCTAATAACATCAAATATGGTTTACCCTATTGGCTAAATGCCTTTATTGATAATAAATTTAATCATAAATTGCAAATTTGAACTTTGGTAATGACGAATATATGTTTATTTAATTTTAGCTTAGTAAAAAATAATAAGAATTAAAATGAAAATATAACATGAAAATTTATGGATCTAACCCGAGTCTACATGGCAAAAGGTTACTTAAACGATCATAATATAAATTAAGATAAGATAATCAAACATGTATGTTTGTATATTTCTAAATTGGTGTGTGAGAGAGAATTACGCCTCACTGAAGTTTTGAAAAGATTAGGGTAACAAGCAATTTCTTCACGTCTTTATATATTTTGTTCAACTTTTCCAACACAAGGTTTAAATAACCCAAATTAATATTGAAAGATCTTATATTTTAGAACATAAAAGAATGAAAAAGATGTCATAAATAACATAAAAGTTGTGTAAATACGTAATCCTTCCTCCTCTTATTAAGACTACAGAATGTTCTTGTACATTATGGTCAATACTAGGTATATAAATAGCGATTTCAAATCCAGAGGTTAATTGTACTCTGGCAACTTTACGTAAGGCGGATTTTGGATTTTTGGGAGTGATAGTGGAAAAGTTGACAGATAGGTCACCCTTACTGCCACTCTACAGAACCGTACATGAAATTTTCACCTCATACGACTCCTCGTTGAATTCTTTCGAAGTCATTGGATCCTTTTCCTCGTTCGAGAAGCTCCTCCGTCCCGAATAGTAACTATGACAAATTCAATGACGTTTTCATGTTCCAATTGAAAACTGGAGGGAATCCCGTTTGTTTCAAAATATGAGCATCACTATCTAATGGTAAAAAATTTGGATAAAAAATTGGACGCGACAATTAATCCATTATTACATTTGATCGTACAAGGTCAATTTCTTTTCAATATATATAAAATTCCCTCTTTTTATTAATTACATTGGGAATTAAAACCCACATTAAATACAATTTTTTTAAATTTAAATCGTACAATAAAATACATTTATATCTATCTCTATATATCTCTTCCTTTTTCAGGAGCCACTTCGCTTCGACCGGCAGATTTTTTCTCTGGTGAAATCCTTCCGGTAGACTTCCTCCGGCGAAATCTCTCCGGCAAATTCCCTCTGGAAACCTGCAAAACTGTACCAGTGCTTTAAAAAGTATACCAATCCATTAGTCTAGTGGTAATGATTTTTTCTAGTGGTACGCCAGGCCTGATAATCTATTTGGTTCGGTTATAACTGAAACCATATAGTCGGTTCTCGGTTAACCGTTAAGCACTTTGAGCTTACCGTTAACCGCACCGTTTAAGTTAGTCAGTTAACCGCAACTCCACAGTCGGTTCTCGATTATTTTTTCGTTTAACCGGATAACCGTTAACCAAGTGATTCGACAAGTTTATACCAAAATAACCGATCGATAAGCTAACCAACAAATGACCTCCTTTTTCAATTGTGAAATTTTCTATAATTTTTCATACATACGCTTGTGTTCATTTCTTAAGTTGTTATCATTGAATAATAATAATTTAACATAGATATATATCAAATACATAATCAACTCAATCCAACACAACTACACAATAATATCATTCTACCGTCAAACTTTATTAAAGAAGCATACAACGTTAAAAGATCAAACAACAATTAGTCAACTCGTAGACCCCACCAAATTATATGGAAGCTTAATGTTACTAATTTTTGTCGAGCAACTATGCGCAAGTCTGACTTTTTATTGTGCTCCTTCTTAAACTCTTCCTTTAGAGTATTCTAATTTGAGTCTAATTCACTATTACAACTAGGATAGACAAGGTTTTTCTAAGCCTTCAAGCACCCCGTTATTTTTTGCCTATGTTTGCAGCTCATTGAGGTCTATTATTGTTGGCTCTAACTATGAGAATGGTCGAAATCGGTTAGTGAGTTAACCGTTTAACCGACGATTATTAACCGTTTAACCACCAGTTAGTTGTTAGCTAAATTTGGCTACCGGGAACAGACCGTTTACCTTTTAATCGGTTATAGGTATAACCATTAAGCATCGATTCCAGTTCGGTTATCGATTACACCATTAACGGGATAATCGTTTACCAACCCTATGGTAGGTACCAGTACAGCGCTACCACTACCATCTAGTAGTTGATAGTGGTAGCGTACCACTATCATTTGGTACCACTACCAATTACCTGATGGTAGTGGTAGCGTACCACTATCACTGGTACGCTACCATAAGAAAAATGGTACCACTAGTCGAAAACAAAAACAAAATATACCAAGAAAAAGGGAGTCGGTGACGAGAGAGAGAGCCAAGGGGGAGAGGGTGACCTCGTGGCGGCGGCAGTGGTGGGAGACGCAGGGCGACGAGAGGGCTCCAACAGGGAGAGGATGATTGCGTCGCGATGGTGGGAGTCAGACGTCATGAAGGGCCAACGGGAGAGAGTTGCAACGGTAGGGGGTGGAGGGAGGCTGAGGATTGCGGAGGCGGCGATGGTGGATGACTGTTGCAGGAGACAGGGGCGGCGCCGCCAACGGTGGAGGGCTGCGGTGGTGGAGGCGCGCCAGCGATGGAGGGCTACGGCGGTGGAAGGCTCTGCGATGGTGGATGGTTGCGTGAGAGAGGGAGGAGAGAGGGAGGAGAGAGGGATGAGGGGGAGAGGGAGGAGTTAGAGTTTTTTTAATTTATATGGGAGGGTAATGATTGTGTGTGGTAAATTTTTTCAATTCCGAAAATAACATTCGTTTAATCTTAACCATCAATTTGAAAACGAGAAGAAAGAGATATAAAAAATGACGTATCCAATGGTGGAAATGTGGGTTGTCAAACTCACAACCCCTAAAGAGTCAAGGTTGTCAAACCGGTTTAAGTCGTTGAGCCGGTCAAGTAAGAGGTTTGAGGTTTAATGGTCTGGTCGGGATCCGGCCGGTTTGAGTCGTTGTAGATGTTTTCTAAATATATATACAAATAATGTAGTAATTAAAGATTTAATTACTGAAATGAAATTTATCTTACATGTATCTATTAAAAACTTATTTTCCACCGCTTAAATCTACCTAACCTTTATGACTCACCCACCATCTCCCTTTCTTCGTTCCACTTTCTCTCTTCCCCCTCTCTTCTTCTCTCTCTTTAGAGGTCAGATCGAGAGCTTTTTGAAGGTCGTTTTGAAGCCCGACTAAGGTCGAATCGGGTCCAACCGGGGATCCTATAGGGGTTTGACAACCTTAATTGCCACCATATCCAATCCCAATTCCTAGCGCTAACTATAATGCAGTGAAGAGACAGTACCACGTCATAAACCTCATCCCGGGCAGAATTCGGATCACACATTTCATAAAATCTTTTGGACGAGTGACGGGCATGAATTATTTTTGCTTGCTCATTTTCGAGTAATATGAAATAACACAACAGTTACTTGAATTTCAAATAATGCAGGTAAAGTAATGCTTATGAACAATGTTGACAGAACTGAACTGGAGCACGATCCGGTAATGCGAACGGCTCGCACTTTAGTGTTCCAACCGGCCTTAGATCGTTTAAAAACCGTTAGAGAACCGGTACCTAATAAACGTTATCAGTATAAATAGTTGACATTTCTTAATCAGAGCTCGTCTCTTTCCTTCGAAATTGTGAAATGGAAATAAGGATTCAGTTTGAGAGCCCAACGTTTTTGTTTTATTTCAATTTTTAATTGTCTGCAATTTTTTTAATTAAATTTAACGACTGAATGGCAAAAACCGGACGAGCGGCTCGATCGGCTCGAGCGGTTAACCGCCTAGGCCGCTCGTCAACCGCTACATAAAACCTGAGCGGCTTTTAGACTGTTAAGAGCCGGTTTTGTGATCGGGTGGCGGTTTTACCGGTCGGGCCGAGCGGCTCGACTCGGCTTTAATAACACTGCTTATGAAGGACCCACTTGTGAAAAAAATTCAATAATAACGATAAAATATGGCATTGCCAATTAGGGATGGCAATATTACCCATACCCATGGGTATTTTGCTATCCAACCCAATTGGGTTGGGTATGTAATCCAAATAGATGTTAGATGGGTAGAGTTTGATAGGTTTGTACCCATACCCATTTATTTGGGTTGGGTTGGGTTTTTAACATATGGATTTGGGTTTGTACCCATACCCAAATGCAAATTACAGTTTGGTACCTAAACTTAATAGTTATGCACATTTAGTACCTAAATTAATTTTTTTTGCATATAAGTCCTCAAAATATCGATGGAAAATTACATTTTAGTACCTAAAATTTTTTGGACTCACATTTTGGTGCCTAAACTTTTCAAGATTTACAAATAGGTCCAATTTTTGTATGTGTAATTAAAACACCCTCAAGTAAGTGGATATCTATATCCAACCCATACTCATTTAGATAATATCTATATCTAACCCAAACTCATATACAAACCCCAAACCCATACACACATCATCCAAACCCTACCCATAATAAATGTGTCTACTTGGGTTTGGGCAAAATTACCCATGGCTGGGTAAATTGCCATCCCTATTGCCAATAGAAACTGGTAGGGCATGTGAGGACAGAGGATTCATAAAAATGTTGGAAAAGGCGGAAAAGACTGGAGGACGGGCCGCGTACGTTGAATGGTGCGAACAACAGGGTGGATCATGTCATTCATGTGACAGTGACAACTGACAAGAGCGTCTCTTTTTCATCCATTTAATAATCAACTAGTGTGGGTCCGACCGGAGGAAGGTGAGGTATGAAATTTTATAATATAATTGGGTGTATAGCTTATTGTTGTATAATTTTTCTTTTTGGAAATTCGTGATAAAAATTGTGAATTTTAGCAGGAAAGAGACATGAATGATGCAATGAATCAAAAATCGGCCTTATGAACCAAAATCAAGTACATGTTAACTTGTGAAACAATATTGTTTCTGGTAATATGATGAGGTGGAGTAAGTTTTAAGAAACCGAATTCCAGAAAATCGAATAAAAAATCGCCTATCTCGTCAGTTTTCGGGAAATGAGCATCTCACAATCGTTGCTAGCTTTTACTCGGCCCGTTGGTCGATTAATTTGCTTTATAAAACATTCATCTTGTCGTCATTGTGCTTTCTGGTTTTTGCTAGGCCATGAAAATGTTTAGGATCGTTTTAATGTTTAAAATAACCAAATAGATCGTTCTGTTTAGTTTTTTACTAACAAATACCAAACGATTCCCTATAAAATACACTATAATTTGATCATTATGATATCAAATAATTATATAATATATATTTGAAATTAGGGATGACAATTTCGACCTGACCCGATTTACCGTACCTGTTTGACCTGTTTTGGAGCAGGTCAAACCCGCCCCGTAGGCGGGACGGGGCGGGCATGGGTACCTCTCATCGACCCGACCTGCCCCATTCTCGTCCCGTTCTTGCCTATATTACATATAATCTTAGTCAAATTACTTAGGATTTTCCTCTTATTATATTATATTTTAGCTATAATAAAGTTGTAATTAAGTGAAAACCTCAATTTCTTCAATAATTTAACTACATTTTATCATATTATGGTTTCTTTCTTGGTCTTTTAATGAAAATAACGAATGTTTCTAATATTTTTCGCATAATTACATACCCAACGGGTCGACCTGCCCCTACCCGCGCCCCGTGATAAATTACCTGACCTAGACCCGACCTGCCATGGGGCGGGTATGGGTATCGAGATACC